ATACATGCGTGGTCTGCTGACCCAGAGAGAAGTGAAAGGTGGAAGAGGGTACCTGGGGGTCGCCAGAAGGAGCTGGTAGCAGTGAGGGTACAAAGGAAAAGGTAGAAAAAGGAGCCGCGGGGATGGGGTGGCGCCCTGGAGGACCCACGGGGAGGGGGAAAGGGGAGGGGCAAGGGGTGGGGAGGGCGTGTCCTGGATGCTGGGCGGGGCGTGTCTGGGCCGGGGGCGGGGTCGGGGCGGAGCGGGGCAACGCTCTCCACTCTGAAGCGCTGCCTTGGTGGTTCAGCAGAACTCTTTGGCGGGAGATCATGTCGGCCGTGGTAGCTCAGACGCTGCATGTTTTTGGTCTTCGATCCCACGTGGCCAACAATATCTTCTACTTCGATGAACAGATCATTATATTTCCTTCAGGAAATCACTGTGTGAAGTACAATGTGGATCAGAAATGGCAAAAATTCATTCCAGGTAAAAACCCTTTCCATCCTGACATATACAGGAATGGTATGTGCCACATATAACCCCATAATCCCAGCATGATGATTGTAAAGATTTTGGCCAATTTGAATATATATGCAGTATTATAAAGGTAGAGGAAATAAATGGCGACTTGTATTATGAAACTAGATTAATCAGTCGCGCATACGTAGTTAAAATCACATATAAAATGTTAATTTAAAAGTACTTTTTTCACTGTAATTTCAGGAAAATATGTTAAGAATCCCTTTTTTGGTATCTTCAATATCATTGCCTTTGTCATTACCAGAGTCCCTTTTTGAGTTGTCTGACAGTTTTCCTGAGCACACCACCTTCATTACATCACCTTTTGAATCCATGTATGATGAAGACACTGTAAACTTTATCCCAAGTTGCAAATAACCATTTGTATAACATTACAGCCCTTATTTTTGTTCACAGTGGTCCTGTTCATGATATACATGATTTCAACAACCGAATCCATTTTCCCATTTTTTGTTGCATTGACACCTTTTATTGTGACATATACACATGAAAGAATGTACCCTACATATATGTAATATTTAAAGAATTACAATAGAATGTAGATCTGTGAACCCAGCCACCAGCATAGGAAATAGAATATTACCAGTTCTAGGGCTTCTCCCTGTATTCTGTGTCCTGCTGCATCAGTTCAACATCATGCTTTTGAGATTCATGCATCTTGATACATATAACCAAGTTCATTGTATTGCTATGTAGTGTTCCATCATATGAATATAATGTCTCAAATATATGTATTCACTCTAGTGTTTAGGGACATTTGGGAAATAACAATCATATGCTATTACAAACTATACTACTATAAACATTCTTGCATGCGTATACATTTGTCTATTTGTGCAGATTCTCTAAGACACATGGCCAGGACTAAACTTACTGAGTAATATGATAGTACCAATTTACACTCCCACCAGGAGTGCATAAGAGTTCTCATTCCTCAACAACCCTGCCAACCCTTGGTATTGTCCAACTTCCTAATTTTTTGCTAATCCAGTAGTTGAGAAAAGGAATTGTGGTTTTCGTTTGCATTTCACTATCATTAATGATGATGAATATCTGTTTACATGTTTATGGGCTATTCCTATTTAGTCGTATGTTAAATGCCTTGTTCAAGTCTTTTACTTGTTTTTTATAGTTTGTTGTGCAGGAAATTTTTGGCAATTTTATTGATTTACATGCACAATTTATCTATTCTGTATACCAATAATTTGTCAGATACATATATGTCTTGCAAATAATTTCTTCCAGTTTGGGGCATTTTTCTCCTACCTTACAGTATCTTTTGATGGACAAAAATTATTAGTTTTAATAAAGTCAGATTTACCAACCACATGATATTCTGTTGGAATAAACTATATTAAATACAGTTGACTTTTATTTATTAATGTTTATTTCCAGCATATTTGCTAAATTATTATTAATTCTAATGATTTGTCTATAGATTATGCAGGGATTTCTATATAGACTATCATATTATCTACAAATAACAATGGTTTTCTTCCTTTTTCTTGTGCTACCTGTGCTGGTAAGCACCTCCAGACAGTGTTGAATAGGGGTGATAAAAATGGACGTCTGGCCAGGCGCAGTTGCTCACGCCTGTAATTCCAGCACTTTGGGAGGCTGAGGTGGGCAGATCACAAGGGCAAGAGATCGAGACCATCCTGGCCAATATAGTGAAACCTCATCTCTACTAAAAATACAAAAATCAGCTGGGCGTGGTGGCACGTGCCTGTAGTCCCAGCTACTCGAGAGGCTGAAGCAGGAGAATTGCTTGAACCTGGTAGGCGGAGGTTGCAGGGAGCCGAGATCGTGCCACTGTACTCCAGCCTGGGCAACCAAGCAAGACCCTGTCTCAAAAACAGAAATAAAAAAGATCATATGACTTTCCAATATTAATTAATTACGGTTTTATACAGACAACATTAATTTATATTTGTTCTCATACTTACCAAACTCTTTGCCCACCGTCACTCTTTACAAATCAGATATTCCAGGGGGGATCATTTTCCTTCTGCATTTACTGATAATGTGTTAATAAACTCTCCCAGTTTTTGTCTGAAAATGACTTTATTTTATCCTCACTTCTGAAAGATAGTTTCAACAGGTATGCAATTTTTATCAACACATTATAGATCGTATTCCATTGTGTTTTTTTGGCTTCTGTTTTGTTGCTGTGCTTAAGAAATTAGCTATCAGCATCGTCTTTCTGTAGATGATCTTTTTTTCTGGATGTTTAATGTCTGTCTATGGGGTGTGTGTGTGTATATATATCTATACACATACACTATATACATATATATGTATAAAATATGCACCATATATACACACACCATATACATATATGTACATGTATATACATCATATATACATGTATACATATGTGTGTGTATATACACACACACACACACAGATACACACAGACATACAGTATAGTTTTTATTTTCATTTTTTATCCTCTTAGGGATTCTTTGAGATTCCTGGATCTAAGGACAGGTATCTTTTTTGTTCTGTTATCTCCTTCTAGAACTCCAAACCATCTCAACTCCATCCTCCATAGTTTTTTTCTTTTCTTTTCTTTTCTTTTTTTTTAAGAAACCAGGTCTCACTCTGTTGCCCAGGCTAGAGTACACTGGCACAATCATAGCTCACAGCAGTCTCAAACTCCTGGGTTCAGGCCATCCTCCCCACCTTAACCTCCTGAATAACTGGGAATACAGGCATGCACCACCTTGAACAGCTAATTTTTTTTATGTAGCTGGGGTCTGGCTATGTTGCCCAGGCTGGTCTTGAACTCCTGGACTCAACCCATCCTCCCACCTCAGCCTCCCAAGTAGCTGGGATTACAGGTACAAGCCACCACACCGTGTATATATGTGTGTGTATGTGTGTGTGTATGTGTTTGAGACAGAGTTTCACTTTTGTTCCCAAGCTGGAGTGCAATAGCTCAATTTCGGCTCACCACAACCTCCACCTCCCAGGTTCAAGTGATTCTCCTGCCTCAGCCTCCCGAGTAGCTGGGATTACAGGCATGGGCCACCATGCCCAGCAAATTTTGTATTTTTTAGTAGAGACAGGGTTTCTCTGTGTTGGTTAGGCTGGTTTCGAGCTCCCAACTTCAGGTGATACGCCCACCTCGGCCTCCCAGAGTGCTGGGATTACAGGCGTAAGCCACCACGCCCAGCCTGTAAATCTATTTTTAAACATTTTTTAATGAAGGAGGGGGCCATGAAATCAAAAGTACCTAGAGCCCTCAAAAACTGTAATGTGACCCTGATTGCATTTCCCAAATAAAGTATTTACACTTTAATCTTTGCCTGAGGCTCTGTTTTCTAGAGGATCACAGCCTTCATTTTCATTCTTATTACCTCATGGTTGTGAGATAAGAGCTCTATCTCCAGATATCACCTCTAGATTTCAGGAAAAAGGGGATAGAATACATCCGTCTGGTTTTTAAGGAAGCACCAGCTTTATCATAAAGCCACTGTAGAAGACTTCTGCCTCCACCTCGTGTCCAGAATGTCACACACGTCAGCTAACTGCAGGGGAGGCTGAGGAATCCAGTAGTTGGCATCCCAGCCTCTGGAGGAGAGGAGGAGTGATGAGCCAGCCACTCAGGCAATAAAGGCCTCTATGGTCTGACCCGATTCCACCCCTTTAGGCCCATCTTTGGTCACCCCATCTCACATGCAGTGCCCCAGCAAACCCACTGCTTGCAGTTCTCGCGCTATGCCGTACCCTTTGTCACATCCACCCCTTGGCTCAAGCTCTTACTGCCACCTGCCACCCAGCCCCCATCTCACCTCGCCCCCTGCCCTCCTTCAGGAAACTTTCCCTGACTTCTCCTCCCACCTCATCCTCAGAGGTGCCTGCCCTAGTCAGTTTCTTTTGGGGACAGAGTCTCCCTCTGTCTCCCAGGCTGGAGTGCAGTGGCACGATCTCAGCTCACTGCAGTCTCCGCCTCCCAGGTTCAAGCAATTCTCCTGCCTCAGCCTCCCGAGTAGCTGGGATTGCAGGTACCTGCTACCACACCCGGCTAATTTTTTTATTTTTAGTAGAGACGGGGTTTCACCCTGTTGGCTAGGCTGGTCTCGAACTCCCCATCTCAAGTCATCTGCCTGCCTCGGCCCCCTGAAGTGCCAGGATTACAGGTGTGAGCCACCACGCCTGGCCCCTAGGGTCATTTTCATAATGCCCAAACACAGCTATGGCAAGGCCGCCTTTATTCTTTGTGTCCACCACTGTCCACTCCAGTGCCCACTACTGTGCTTGGTTCCTGTTGAATCCTGGTGAAAAGTGTGATCTACCCTGATTATTTCCTTTTTCCTCTGTTTGCAGGCTCAGACAAGAGTCAGGGCATGTTGGCCTTGTCCATCAGTCCCAATCGGCGGTATCTCGCTATCTCTGAGACTGTGCAAGAAAAACCTGCCATCACCATTTATGAATTGTCATCCATCCCTTGCCGGAAGCGCAAAGTTCTTAATAATTTTGACTTCCAAGTTCAGAAATTTATTAGCATGGCTTTTTCTCCAGACTCCAAATACCTGTTGGCTCAGACATCACCTCCAGAGTCAAATCTTGTCTACTGGCTGTGGGAAAAACAGAAAGTAATGGCCATTGTTAGAATCGACACTCAGAACAACCCTGTCTACCAGGTACCTAGTAGTGTGACAAGTATCATGAAAATTATAAAAAATAGAACTACTTTTTATTGAGTGCTGTGTGCCACAGTTCTAATTTCCTCCATGCATTTTTATATTTAGTCTTGCAACAACCATATAAGGTATGCACAATCATTATCCCCATTTTACAGATGAGAGAACTGAGGCTCTAAGAGGTTAGGTAACTCACCCAAGATCACAGAGGTAGTGAGTAGCAGAGCTAGGAGTTCCCCGGCTCCAGCTCCTATCTTCTTTACTTTGGCCCAGAACTGCTTTCTGGTCACAGGTTTAGCCCAGAAGTGGATTAATAAAACTTACTTTCTCTCCCTGGTCCTATCCTCTTTTTCCAGCACCGTTGCCGGGCAGTAGGAAGATTTCCGAAATGTGACGTAAAGTGGTAGGTCTTTAGGAAGCTGTTGCTGAAGTTGCAGTTATGTAAGGAGCAGAACCTTCTATTGTGTCTTGAGGGCAAAAGGAAGAAGACCCCTCAGGAACCTGATTGATGGCTTAGGCAAGGGGTCCCAAGGAGGTTTGATATTGGTTCACTCACCCTAGTCTGGGATCTAGCACTCAATTCCACAAGTTCTATGACTCAGTTCTGTTCATGTTCAGGGATTCTAGCTAATCAGTGTCTCGGGCATAGACTCAGTTATCCAACCCACAAGATGTTGATGTGTAAACCAGCATATTACAACCAGAACGCTCACATTATTTATCCAGTGTATTCCCTTCCTAGTAGTAGAGAAGTTGCGAGGTGAAATTATAATAGTAATCAGAAAGCTGCTGAGTGATTTTTCCAGAATCAGACCAAAGGCAGGTAGAACCAGAAGAGGATTTCAACCAGGCCACAGTGAGGCCTGATGAAGCACCTCCTGCTCTGACTAAGTAGATTCAGCAACCATTTATTGGATGCCCATGATGAATCCAGCACTGGGAAAACAGAGATGAAAAAGTCACAGCCCTTCAAGTTGCTCACTATCTAGCCAGGACAGCAGGTTGACTGCCTATTACTGTACAGGTAGTCCCCAACTTACTATGGTTAAACTTAAAATTTTCATCTTTACAATGGTACAAGAGTGATATGCACTCTGGAGAAAGAGGCCAAGTGATATACTTTCATGATGCTGGGCAGCAGCTGCAGCCACAGCCCCCAGTCAGCCACTCAGTCACGAAGGTAACAACCAAGGTACTCTACAGTGTGGTGCTGTGTGGCCACATGGCTTTGCCCATTTTCAGCTTATGATGGGTTTATCAGGACATGATCCCATTGTAACTAGAGGAGCAGGTGTATATTGGGATAAGAGCTGTGGTTGAAGGATGTTCAGTTGGTAGGAGACCACATAGCATCCCCTGACATGTGATTTCTTTCCTCCTGGACAGGGCTATGTAAACCTATCAGACCCTCTTTTTCTGTGTTTCCAGCTGAGCTTTATTCCATTTTGTCGGCACTGGGTGTGGCTCTTGTCAAAAGCTGCTCATTCTGCTCTTTGGCCTTTGTAGATTTCCTAGTTTGACTCCTAGTTTGACTCATATCCCTATAAATATAATGGATAAATATAATGGATTATAGATGTGTCCCCTTATCAAATGCAGCATAAAATTACATGATTTTGTGATGTTTAGGAGATATTCTGAGCAGCCTGAAATAAATATTAACTTGTAAAATGGGAAATAATTCCATCGAGATTAGTTTCATAATTTTTTTTCTTCAATTCTCTCACATTTTACAGGTGAGCTTCAGTCCACAGGATAACACTCAGGTGTGTGTCACTGGAAATGGGATGTTTAAGCTTCTCCGTTTCACTGAGGGAACCCTGAAGCAAACCAATTTTCAGAGGGGAGAGGCCCAAAACTACCTAGCCCACACCTGGGTGGCTGATGATAAGATTGTTGTTGGCACTGACACAGGCAAACTCTTCCTCTTTGAATCTGGAGATCAGCGTTGGGAGACCAGCATAATGGTCAAAGAACCCACCCATGACTCAAAGAGCCTGGATGTCATCCAGGAATCAGAGAGGTAATGGTGCTTCCTGGGCTGGCACTCCCACATTCATTGTACTAACAGCGTTATACAGAAGACAGCACTCTTTAGAAACCACTCATAACCCCTCTGCCATAAAAGTCAACTATGCCCATTTTCCCTCTTCCTCTCGAAGAGTTTTCATCTATATTTAAGCACAAATTTAACAGTTGTAACCATAGGCTAGCTACAATTCTTTTTATTTTTTATACCTAACCTCATTTTATAAGCATTATAATATGGCTGGTCTTCAGAACTATAGTTTTAGAAACATATTTTACAGTGACTAATTTAATGAGTTGATTCATGTCCACCAAGCCCTTGCAGTATACAAAAGGCATCTCTTGCTAGATGCTGGGGACACAAGTCCTCACGGAACTTATAATTCAGCAGGAGGCGACAGACCAACAAATGCAAGGAAATGTTTTAGGTAAATCTGACAGAGGATGGGGTAAAGTGCAGTCTCAGGAAGGAGTGGTTATTGACCATGGTAAGAGAGATGCCACATTACCGCTGTGACAACCAGTAAAAATCATATCTCCTGTGGATTGGAATGTACCATTGCATGCACCAGACATTGCTTTAAACACTTCATAAATATTCCCATTTGATTCTTACCCTATATAGTTCATACTATTATCATGCCCATTTTATAGACAAGGAAACTGAGGATCAAAGAGGTAAGTGTCCTATCCAAGATCATTGCTCTGAGAAGTGGCAGGCTCAGGATTCAAAGCCAGATCTCTCGGATGCCAGAACCTGGGCCCTCAACCCCAATGACATCCTGTAGATTATTCTTCCTCAATAACCTTCAATCCACCCATTTTCACTACCATCCCCCCATGCCAATGGCATATCCTCTTTTTTTTTTTTTTTTCTTTTTTTTTTTTTTGTAATTAGGAGCTTCCTAAAAAGTCCCCATAACCTTCTCCAGGAGCTGCGTTCACAGTCCTTAAGCTCTGGGGTCCAGGCCTCCCAGAAAAAAGCCCAGACTCGTTGGCTTGGCCCAAGCATACCTGCGGCTCTCTTCCTCTACCACCCTTGCCTCTGTCTACTCCACACGCCCCGAGTACTCGCTTGCTTCTGGGCTTGGCCATGTGCAGTTTGTGTACAGTTCCCAAGCCAAAGGGCAGTATTTGGCTATGGAAAAGGGGATCATTGGGTGGTTTCTGTCACACCCAATGACAGCCTTCTTTCTCCTCCCCAGCAGAATTCCATCTCCTCAAGATTGTCTCTGTAAATTGTATATGCTGTTTTTTGGTTTCCAGCCTGATCGAATTTCCACCAATCAGTTCTCCACTCCCTTCCTATGAACAGATGGTGGCGACCAGTAGCCACAGCCAGCTGTCCATGCCCCAGGTGTTTGCCATTGCAGCCTATTCAAAGGGATTTGCCTGTTCTGCTGGGCCAGGGAGAGTTCTGCTGTTTGAGAAGATGGAAGGAAAGGATTTTTACCGTGAGAGCAGAGAAATCAGGGTAAGGAGGGAAGAAGAAAGAAGCAAAACAGGGGTCCTATTGGCATTTGTTCCCCAGCAGCAGTTTTCTGAGAAGGCATCTGATGGGGAGGGATAGGGCAGGATTGCTGAGCAGAAATGGTGAAATGGTGACTTGAGATATCTGTCCTGAGAGAGGTTTTAGGATGAGGTGAACAGAGTTAGTTTAAAAATAGGAAAATCGACTAGCATATTGGCTTATGCCTATAATCCCAGCACTTTGGGAGGCCAAGGCGGGTGGGTCTCTTGAACTCAGGAGTTCTAGAACAGCCTGGGCAACATGGTGAAACCCCATCTCTACAAAAAAAAAAAAAAAAATTATGAGGTCGGGAGTTTGACACCAGCCTAGACAACATGGTGAAACCCTATTTGTACTAAAAATACAAAAATTAGCCAGACGTGGCAGTGTATGCCTGTTGTCCCAGCTACTTGGGAGGCTGAGGCAAGAGAATAGCTTGAACCTGGGAGGCAGAGGTTGCAGTGAGCCAAGATCACGCCACTGCACTCTAGCCTGGGTGACAGATTGAAACTCTCTCTCTCAAAAAAAAAAAAAAAAGGTAAACAGGCATGGTGGCATGTGTCTGTAATTCCAGCTAGAATTGCTTGAACCCAGGCAGCAGAGGTTGCAGAGAGCCAAGATTACACCACTGCACTCCAGCCTGGGCGACAGAGCAAGACTCTGTCTCAAAAAAAAAGAAAAAAAAAATTTGCCAGGTGTGGTGGTGTGCACCTGTAGTCCCAGTTAGTTGGGAGGCTGAGGTGAGAGGATGGTTTGAGCCTGGCAGGTGGAAGTTGCATTGAGCCAAGATCAAGCCACTGTATTCCAGTCTGGGTAACAGAGCCAGACCCTCTCTCAAAAAAAAAACAAACAAAGAATAGGGGGATCCCAGGAAGCAGCCTGGTCTGGGAGTCTGTAAGCTAAAGTCATCCAAGAAAACTCTGAAAGCCTAAGGCCCACTGACAACCTGGGGACATTACTGATAGCTGTTTTGCATCTTGAGCAGATTCCTGTGGACCTGCAGAGCAATGATCCAAGTCAGTCTGACAAACAGGACGTTCTCTGCCTATGCTTCAGCCCCTCAGAGGAAACTCTGGTTGCCAGCACCAGTAAGAACCAACTCTACAGCATCACCATGTCCCTGACAGAAATCAGCAAGGTGAGTCTTCTCAGCAATGGTCCTTCCAGACCAGGACCCGTGTGCCTGGCTGGGGGACTGGTCACCATGTGGGCAAATTTTAATCCAAATAAGTTAGCATAAACTCATGCATCCCCTTCACACAGAGCAAAACAAAATTCTAATTTTAAGATGTTCACATAGAAGCATGCTGATAGACTCAGTGGGACTGTGATTGCTCCAGTAACTTTGGAGGACACATTGGCATTGTCTCAGATTTAAATCCCACATATCCTTTTA